ACCCCAGCCCMAGCATTCAACCAATACCTTTCCTTTGAAGAACAACACCTGGATTCTATGCAACATACTGAGTTTTAAAGAAGATTCCCCAGCATATTCCCATCATGATGTTCTTGTTGTTTCTGAGATTTGTGTTGGACAGCAGCAGCAACATCCAAACAATCCAATTAAGATGATGCTGATGCAATCAGTATCATTCCCACCAGTACTATCACCAGTTKAGTGCAGCTTCCCTCAGCTGGATCCATCCCCAGTTCTCAAGGACCAGAGGCAGCTTCCAGTCACAATGTTGTTGTTTCTGGCATTGGTGTTGGACAGCAGCAGCAGCTGTGTTTTCTGGTGTTGATGTTGTTATTTCTGACATTAATGTTGGACAGCAGATAGCAACAACAACAACAACAGCCCCCAGTACTCAACCAAGACCTATCCTCCTTTGAAGAACAATGCCTGGAATATGCTACATCATACTCAGTTTTAAAGAAGATTCACCAGCCTTATCTCCATGCAGTTCCAGTTTTATTTATGGACCAGTTTTCCAGTGATGTGGTTGTTTCTGACATTAGTGTTGGATAGCAACAACAAACACCACAGTCTCCAGTACTCAGCCAAGACCTATCCTTTGAAGAAGAGTGCCTGGAGTAWGTGCTACATCAAACTCAGTTTTAAAGAAGATTCAYCAGCCTTATCTCCATGCAGTTCCAGTTTTATTTACAAACCAGTTTTCTGGTCTTGATGTTGTTATTTCTGACATTTGTTTTYGACAGCAGCAACAACATCAACCCAAGTTCCATTAAAGCAATACAATCAGATCATGATACTGATGGGCTCATYAGTATCTTCAGTATCTCTGCTTCTGGCYATAGTGCCTCTTCTAATTCACAAGGTAAAATAATGTTAAGATTTTTATAAAAATAATTCCAATACAACAAGTGTCACCATGACAAAAATTCCATTAAAAAATGGTATTGTATAGAGTTGGCAACCAAATGTATGCACCAGTCATACACTTTGGGCCCTTATTTTGTGTGTCTCAATAATACTAGTACTGGTACAGCATATTTTATTCCCACCAGTCCTGCAACTAGGGGGCCAACTCCTCTATTTGGTATCAATAAATGGGTAGCATGCCATAGGAGCACATATCACATGTTTAGTTTGTAGTATGGCAAAGCAACAAAATTTTACTTAGAATAGGCCAACTTTACTATGAGTAGTATTATTTAGTAGTATGAACCCCACAGGTACAATAAGAATGCCAATGTTACTGCAGAAAAACAGGTAGCTTTACTATCTACAGAAGGCTGATGATTCTTTGACTTGTTGMTTTTGACTTGTTTGCTTTTGACTTGTTCACTCTGTCAAAAACAAGGGGAAGCTGGAAAAAATATGTGCCAACAACAACATTATCATTGTTCAAAGATGATGTTATGGTGTCAAAGTATCTCTCTGCATTCTGAAATGAAATCCTCTTTGTTCAAAACAAGGAGAAACATGGAATTCTTGTCCATTTAATATTCCWGTTTCATCTCACCATTCATATCCAAATAAAGATTGGTCATTTCAAAATTGAACTGGTTATTTTTAAATGACAATAGAGAATCCCATTCCCAACTCCTGATATTCAGTCACAAGCCAGCATACAACCATCAAAACAGAAGTGAGGAAAAACCAAGCCTAGCTAAAAAACATACAAGCATTCTTGCATAGTACTTGCRTTGCTAATTTTAATAGCATTTTTTAAATAAAATATATTGGACAATTTGGACCAGTGGAGGCAACAATAGACAAGCTAGTRTAACCACCACTTCTTGTTGGGAGAAGGTTGCTTCTACTAGTTGATCTGAGGAGGGATGGCACTTCTGGAGGAGCATAACTGGTGTGGTGCTCATAGMTTTACTACTAGTACTACTAAGGTACTATGCTAGAGTTATTTAAAGTTGTGTTGTCTCTTTTTTGGATTACAAACAAAAGACCAGTATACTTTGACAAGTGATCATGCTCTTCAGTAGTTGTTTGCAATTAGTGCTCCTCAATGGAGGGAAATACTGAGCAATCAGATTGGTATTGGTCCTCTTGGAAATAGTATAGCATCTTGGATGCTCCTGTAGATTTTTTTTCATGAACTCTGACAGTAGCATCATGAGAAGGAAGTGGTGGTGGCATTGAATGGGAAAGCTTCAAGGGCAGGRAAAAAAGAGTGGCTTAAGTTGGACAAGTTTCTGATGGAGAGAAAAAGTGTCTTGGTCTCAATGTTAACTATGCTTGGTGTAAGGCCTGCTTGTAGGAAACAGTGTGATAATGGATATCTTTATTGCTTTGCTCCATCATAGCACAGCAAGATTTTGATCAAGAAGGCTCCCAGCCAATGTCAGGAAAGTCAACTGGCACAAGAACAGTAGAGGATATGGATGCAGTCTTCCCATTTGGAACAGCAAGGATATCATAAGCAATGAAATTGACACTTCCATTGTTTGAGAACTGTAGAATCAGTGTGTACTACTAGTACTAGCCAGATATCATCCCAAAACTTTGTTACAATGGCATTCCTATTAAGAAGTCAGCAGATAGCAATACTGTGAGACTTACAAGAACAAGCTACAGCCTTGAGGACCTTCTTGCTTGTCCACTTAGTAATGATGCTAACATTGCTGCCACTAATGTTACTACAAACATTGCAGCATTCACAACAAGSATGGTTAGTAATGTTACTACTTGCAWGTTTCTTAGCATCATCCTCTCCTCACTGTTACTAATAATAAGCAAAACTATGATGGCAAGTCAAGAAAGTGGAAAATTGAAGTWCTGTAATAAAAAACTGCTGAGAATTCTCAGGTTTATTATACTAGCACTTTCAATGCAGCAAGAAGCAAGGCCAAAGATCCTCTGGAAAAAGTTACACAACAATTGAGAGGTGGGAACTGTTCTCAAACTAATGAAGAAAGTGTCACTCCAAGTTTGTTAGATATGTATTGCCAATTAATGTTGCTAACACAAGAACTGTTCAAAAATTACATGGAAGGTCTTTGGAAAATGTCTTGGTTTCAACCTGGCCTTACACRAGAAGAAGCAATCATTGGATTTATGGTGTTCTTGTGCTTTCAATAGTTAAAACTTCCAGTGGTCTGTTTTGAGAACACCTCTTCTCTTCACAAAAAAAACACTGCCAACGATGTTCAAAATAGACAGCAGATCAATGAATTCCATTCCTATTTGAGACACAACAAATAGCCACAGTTGTTTTGTTAAATCACTCCTGAAATCTTTTTAATTTTTCCACCTATGCACTCACTTAGTTTTTGCACCGTAGTGAGTGCCTGTGTTAGCCAACCAATTTTTATAAAACATCTAAACTGTTTCAATATTTMACATTTGAGTGTTTAATTTTGCTTTGTATTCAACCCCAACTTTCCTCCAATTGCCTTTCTATTGCATTCACTTTTCGCTTGGCTGAAATTCAATCCAGTTTTCTTCAAAGTGTGTGTATTTCCTTCCTTCCTTTTTCAATGGCGTCAAGAAGGGTAAGRACGAAGATTTAATTCCAAACTATGGCTAATTGGCTCGAATGAATTGGAAGCAGCACTTGGCATTAAGAGTGCAGTCAACTACTCGACTTCTTCAGCCTAATAAGCACTGGTAACTGTTCGAGTGGAGATCTTTCCCCTCAACAATCTGCACATTGATCTCCAGGCGATTTTCCAATGCATCAACCAGAGAGGCATATCTTCGTCTCATCAAACTACTACCGTCATGTTTGAGATTTATCTCTAATGCTTGCTTGACCATCGATAGGTGTTACCTTTGGCTATGGTCGTACACTATGGTACTCGGGGCCATCCCAAACCCCTCTGGAATAGAATCTGGTGGTAAAAGCTTTAGTGTGTGCATCGTTATTATCTTGACCATCGCCAAGTGATGGATCGCATGATGCGCCACAAATCCAAGTTCACGTTCGACAGTGCTCGACAACATGAATTCGTCTTCTTTTGGATCTCCCGAAAGCAGAAAGCAAGCCAGAACGCTATTACTGTCGTTGCAAACTTCCGTATCGTCGCCACCATCATCTGTAGGACAGAAAGATACGATTGCATCAATGCCGTCTCGAAAAGGCTGTATTACTCGCCGTATTCGTGCTTCCGCCTCATCCATATCATATTCATCAGAACCACCTCTCACGCGCACATCGTAATGAATCTCCCGGCTGAAACCACCGTCTCCGTTGTTCTCCTTCTTCTGAACCTCTATGATGTCGGCCACACGTTCCATATGGTCCATACTGTGACGAAAGTGCTGTCCAATGGAGGCCCCCACAATCGGGCATGACTGTGCGTATCCTTTATTGGCTTGGTTCGGTCCCAATGTTTTCCGCAGGGCGGTTATCAAACCCAACTTCTGGCGCAAGACGCTAACGTTGGCTTGGAGAAGAGTYGATCGACGATGAAGGGTTTTCCTAGCTCCGGATGCAAAGGACATGGTCCTTACAATATAAGATGGATGTGATTCTTCAATATGGTGGGTTGATGGCCATTGTATTCAGCAGTAGCTGATACGGTAGTATTGCTTTAGTTCTTGAAGTATTTCGGTTGTTTTCCTCACAAAGTTTGTACGGCACGTACTGTACTCCCACAGTACCAGCCGAAGAGCGAAGAAAGGAAGAACTTGGATGGAGGAGGAGCTTAAGTTGGTCGTGGTGAGATTTTTTTAATTTTTCCCAATCAAAAACAGTCCCGAACCAAATAATTGTTGTCACGGAAATCAAGCCCGCCGGCCTCAGGCATAGTATTTTTGAATTTTAAAAATTCACATTATTTTCGGAAAAGTTACTTACCGTAGGTTACGGGATGTAKGGTGCAAGTACGGTATCGTACCATGCTGGTAACTCGTATGTGCAAAACGAACCTTTCTCCCGATCAATCATCAATGCGAACGGCGGGTACGTACGATTAAGGCACGTACCATACTCCTAGCAACTCTTACGAGTTCTTAGCTTTACTTCAGACTTTGGAATAAATCTCGTTCGAACTGACTAAACAACAAAACCGGTCTTTGCTTCAATTCATATGACAGAAAACTTCGTGACGATGAAAATTTTTCCTCTGTACACCCTCCTGCTGTTAACAGAAAAGCTGAATTTTGCTACTGCCGAGGGTGGTTGCGGATTTTGTGAGGGTGGAAGCCTGAGCAACCCAGATGCACTAATTGCTCTAACCTCTCCCTTTCAGGTTCACAGTTGTTTCGAATGGCAGCAGCAAAGCAGTCTGACCGAACAATTCTCCGAAGATGCATGCAACTTTATTGGTCCGTTTTATGAAGCCATCTGCGGGTGCTCCGATATCCCACAAACCTTCGACCAATGTGATCTCTGCGGATCTCCAGAAAAGGTCTTCAGCAACCCTTCAAAGGGTCTTCTGATTCCAAAGTCAAACTCTGAAGAAATACTTTGTAGTGCTGTCTACAATGGTGTTCGATTGGGAGCTGTCCCTCCTAATGACTGCCAAGTTCTTAGAGGCATTACCAACTTTTGTGGGGGATGCATACCCGGGCCTACAACAGGGCTGGAAGAAACAGATCGCGTCTCCACTTTACCACCTAGCATCGAAGCATTCGTTTCCAATGTTGAAAGTCCAGAACCGACTGCATCTCCCACTAATGCCCCATCTGCGGGGCCCACGACGGAGCCAACGAGCGCCCCCACTGGCGTTGCTTCAGCCGAACCATCTTATTTGGCAACAACGAATTCTTCATCTGCTGTCACGGAAATATCAGGGAGGCGCCAAATTGATCCACCAACAATAGAGAACTTTGTAAATCTGTCCGAAATACCCGTAACTTGCGACCTTTGTCCTTCTACYGGTATCGTATCCACACCTGACAAGTTAATYACCATGATCAAGAGTGATAACAAGATTGTCAGCAAAACATGCGGTGCACTATTGTGGGATGTTCGAGCAGGACRYGACCATATCGACGAAACGGCATGTTCATTTCTTCAACCTTTTTTTGGAGCAGTTTGTGGGTGTAGTACTTTCACTCCGTTAAACGACGAGGAAGCGCAGACGGATACAAAGAAAACAACWAACATTGAAACTAACCAGTGTAAAATGTGCGAAAACCCTGCTCATGCGTTTCAGAAACCCTATAATACATTGCAAATCCCAGGATCCAAAACCACCGAGATTACATGCGGAGGTTTGTTTTCTGGAGCCATGAAGGGTGCTGTCAGTGGCGAAGAATGCGAGATCTTGTCGAGTCTTGCATACACTTGTGGAGGGTGTGGCACATTTCAATCCAGATTTTATGAAGAGGCAACGCCTGAAGAACAAGTAAGTCTGTTCCAAGCTATAATACAGAAAGAACGAGTCGTATTTCAAGTAAACTGTATGCGATAATTTCATTGCTGTTCTCAATMTTCTTTCCTCATGTAATTTTATTCACTTTAACAAATCAAAAGTGCATCGATTGTTTCGACGACAACGAAAGCTCGATGTATATCTACAAAGATTTTGGTGCTTCTGGTACAACATTTCATAAAGCCTTTTCCGCGCCACTTCATTGTGATAAGAAGAATRAAAAGCAACCTGGTCGCTCCAAAAACGATAATTGTAGTAAACTTCTTTATCCCGAGCTAGAAGGGTGTGTCTTGGCGCCAATCACTTCATTCGACGATTTGCTAACAATTCAATCTATTATTCCCCCTGGAAAGGCTGCTTACACGGCAGTTCACAAAGATGGAGCAGTACTAAAAGAAGATGCTGAAACCTGTTACACAAGCACTGAAAATGATCTCGATTCCGTTCAAATATCTCGTAATCGTGTCTCTGAACGTTTGTCAAGYGAAAACTGCCGCGTGGAAAATTGGATGGAGGGGCTTGAGTTTGGCTACAGTCATGAYCAATACGAAAACAGTGGAGAATCAACAAGATCATCCAGCGCTATCAATGGAGCCCTAAACACATGTGAATTATTGAAAATGGGATGGGCYAATTATAACACGGGCACGAATGTACCTAGCAGTACGTGGGAAAACGGTCAACTCTCTTATTGCAATCTAGGACCAGTTCAAGAAGTTGGTGCTGTTTGGGCTGTCGAACCAGAGGGACAAAATTACGGCGATTTGAGAGACGTCAGTAGGAACTGGCTTTTGCCCGGAGCAGTTTACAAATGTTGCAAGAAAATATACAGCTGTTTTGGAGAAAAGGATTGAGAAAGATGGGCAGGTTTCAACCTAAAATRACAGCATACTCGTKCATACTTCGGCTTCTAATTTATGGAGTCACACATTACGCCAAAACGAAATGTCAATCATTACACCGTGCAAGCTGCTGWTTAATGCAGAAAAGCATAAAGTTGATAGAATAGTTATGTAATTTCTACTACTAGAGCAATACCCATAGTGACTTCKTCTATGCGTTTCAAACAATCGTCACTCAGATCTATCGAGTTGTTACTTCGTGATTTCGATTTTGTTAGATGTGTTATTCATCTCTTTAKTGAAGGGTTTGATACGGTATTCATTTGCAAATCACGGGCAACTTCARTTCATTAAGTTCCAGCATTTCGAATGTGGAAAATTGGAAGTCCTACAAAAGTTATCACTATCACATCGTTTGTAAATCGATGATTATACGATAATTAGGGCAAGTTTAACAGGAGTACTGATGCACTCCACGGCTAAAGCGTTCATTTCATTGCAATCACTCATTTTTGACGAAAGTTTTTAGCCGTCGGGATGAAAATCCAAGGTAAAGTCTGCCTCGAAGATCCCATCCCAACAGATCAAGTCTCTCCATCAAGGAAAACGATTTCTGAGAGCAGCTATCGTCAGTCCACTTTCCTAGCAACGGATCCTCAATTGGGTAGTTTTCAAACAAAYGAAGGACCTGGACATATGTTCTGTGCATGTGGCAATGAAGAAAAGACTATRTTAGACTAGACCTCAACAAAAATTAAAACACGTCTGTCACAAAAGAAAATTACGTACCTTTGCAACACATCAGCGTTTTCTGTTTTTGAACCTTTCTTAATGCTGCTCGACAATACTTTTTGAAGCAACAGCGCATGAACATAGGCTTTCAGTTCGTCCTTTCTCGTCGCSCCGACCTTCAACCAAACGTAGACGATATCCCTGGAATCGTAGCCAATCACATATGGAAGACTGCTGTTGCCATCAGGAATTTCATTGGCATCAAACTGCAAGATCGAGCAGTCTTGAAGTCTGCCCAAAACTAGAGAGYCCGACAAACATATTTTTGGGAATATTAGAGACCATACCGACAAAAACAGAGACTCCTGAAGCAGTTCTGGAGATTCCAGGTTGCGAATGGCTTTCAACAAATCCGGCGACGCAGTGGTTGCTTGCTGTTCATCGTGCACYTSAGTGGCCATGACATCGATAGTATTGCGAAAAAGTACCTTTGTTCGCTCCGGATTGAGTGTCGTCAATTTCAATAGTGCGACAGCCTTGTAGTTGGCCCAGACGTGGATTGTTGTCAAGATACCGAAAAAAAGCCAGGTCCAAAAGAAGGGATCGCTTTGGCCGTGTTTTTCCAAGAGCTTTGCGACCCATACACCGCCTAACATCCCAATAAGACTAACGAGTGTCTCTTGGGTGGATTCCTTGGCGGTCAAGTCGGCAACGTTTCCACCGTCTTTTGCAAAGTGCTGAGTAATATGTCCCTTAGTAGCTCCGGCTGTRATTCCACAGATTGTTTTCCCTAATGTACTTAAGCCCAGAATCCATATCGATCCATTCGGACCAAAGTATGGTGCAATCATATCCAATGTCAAAGAAATATCATTAATCACATCGGCSAGCAACAACCGGAATTCTTTGGCATGGGAATCGAAGTACGATGCGGCCATGTAAGAATAGGCGAGTCCCCCAATCATACCWGTTCCATCTCKCAACGCCCAGCTAAGAGCTGCCGACAAGGCAGTAGCTTCTGCATTTCCGACTCCAGCGGCTTCAAAGACTGCCTTTGCCGATACGACTCCTCTCCAGTAAGAACAAAGTCCTTGCAAGCCGTCGTAAATTTGATACGGAAGATAMGTATCGGAAACCGACAGCGGATACCCAAGGGGCAAAAATAGCCTTCTCAACACTTTTATGGAAGAWCGAAACGTGTACCTGTGATTCTGTCGAATTAGTACACAGGATAGGGTTCGCTTTGATGCCGTCGCACTACCATTGTTGTTGTTGTTGGATATTGTCTTTTGTAACGTGTATTCGCGTATAGGTTGCAGTCGTTCCAGCCGCGAAGACGAGGGACTGTCRCTCGGAGACAAAGGGTCTTCTTCGTACTCCAGGACTGTTGCCTTCATGCTCTAATTTTCCATCGAGTGTTCGTCAATTACAGGTTTAAAATTGCCATCTTCGAAATTCTTGTTCAACCTCTCTTCTGCTATCTTCCAGTTTCCAAACGCTGAAACGAAAAAAAAAAAGAATCCTTCGTTCTGCCGTCGCAAGATACCGATATGCCGAAGTAACAGTAGTACTAGTACTACTACTACTAGTACTACTACTACTACTACTACTACTACTAGTACTACTAGTACTACTAGTACTACTAGTACTACTAGTACTACTAGTACTACTACTACTACTACTACTACTACTACTAGTGGTGGTGGGTGGCCTACCGTTAAAAAGCTGTCACGTCTTATTTCGAACCCAAACTCGTACTCGTGCATGGCTGAATGCACTGAGCCAAATGTGTTACTACCTCTGTTAATTTAAGATGTCATCAATATTTTTCACAAATTCTAAAGAACTCTAGTAGTACTGAGTGCTGCTCCCCATTTTCTACTAGTAAGCAACAACAATACTAAGAACAGATTGAGGAGCTATACAATCCATATCCAGTGTCTGTATCCACCCTTTGTATTTAGTAGTATTCAGTGTCCATATTCAGTGTCAGCAGTGTTCAGCATCTGGTGTATCCTCCTGCACCCTCCATATCAGTAGCAACAAGCCCCACTGGTGATGGATCTGCGCCAATGCTGACATTAACAAATTGTGGACCGCAATGACATCCTCATTCAGCATCCCCTTCCATATCAGCAACTCACATTGTATTGTTAGTGGCTCATCTGTATCAGCAGATGGTGGCATATCAGGAGCTCATTGTCTCTCAGTGTCGTCCGTATTGTAGCTACACAACTTCTTCCGTATCAGTGGTGTTGAAGAATCAGAGAGTTGATGGTGTACAACAAACAAGGCAAACCCTAGAACTGAATTAGTGTCCAATATGAAGGAATGAACAGGATAGTTGCTATTACACCTTATGTATGAATGTTATGATTAAAGGTGTACAGCAATCATGGTGGGCGGAAGGATCAAAGGAAAGCCAAGAATCAGCAAAAAGAAGTACTAGTAATGGCTGGTGGAAGAGGAGTGGACTGCTGTGAAGCTAAACGCACTGGATGAAGATTAGATTGAAGTTGAAGTGAATCTAGACAAAGGAAAGGATCTTTACTTTGAAGTACCATAGTGAGCAGTAACAATGAGAAGGGTTGTAGAATTAGAATAAGGAGCAAGAGGAGTGAATTCCAGTGAGGAGGCTGTGATTATTAGAGTTGGATAGGGAGCTCATATTTCCCAGGAAAAGAGAATAAGATAAGAGAACACTTTATTTAACTCATTGAACCTACCATATTTTAACCATCTCAACATTTGTTGAAGAATGATCTGAGCTGTAGTAGTAAGAGTTGTATTTACAGTGATCACACAGGAAATATCAAACAAGACATGATACAAATAATAAAGAAACATTCAAAAGATTGCTCACAACAACAGGCAAATTTGGTGAAACTTTCATCCATCATTGTAGAAGTGCCAGCAGCCACTGTTTACTAAGACAAACAAGGTGAGCAAGTTTGGTAAACAGTGGCCATGTTTTCAAGCAATGGAAGTCAAAGTGCGTAAATGCAAGTACAGGTAGCAGGTACGTTTCCGACCTAGTAAACTGAAAACTGCTGTACTGTCCGGTACGAGTATCATACCAAAAACTGCTCCGCTATCACTTTCGTCATAGTCCACCGCACGACCACCATGGTACCCATCGATAATATCAAGCACCTATTTTCCCCACTTCCGACGGCAATCGCCGCTGTCATCTTCTCCTGCCTGTGGTTTGCTGGTAGGATTGATTCACACACGCCGAATTTTACCCCCGACCAACGACAGARGTCCGCCGTGCTRATCACCGGTGCGAGTCGGGGAATCGGAAAGGCGGCGGCACTGCACCTGTCGTCACTGGGATACACGGTTTTCGGAAATGTACGATCGCAATCTTCCTACGACAAACTCATAGCGAGCAACAGCGAACGAACGGCAGCGGCGACAGGAAAAATCATTCCAATTAAATTCGACGTGGCGCAAGACCAAGACATGGGGACGGCGGTCACGGAAATCGAGAAGACGTGCAAGSAAAGTGGTYTGGATTTTGTTGSCATCATAAATAATGCCGGAATCAATCCAGAGGGAGACGCCATCGCCAAGTCTTATATGGAAAAAGATGCCAAGGGTCCCGAGAACAAACTAGCGGACACTGCAACCGTAACGAGGGTCATGGAGACAAACGTGGTTGGTTGCTTCCGCGTCACCCGGTCGTTTTTGCCCATCCTTGCAAAAGAGAAAGGCAGGGTTATTCTCATCGGAAGTTATTTTGGAACMCTAGCTGGACCAATTGGTTTGTCTCACGTGGCGTACGAATCTTCGAAGCACGCCCTGGAGGGTTTGGCAGACGGTCTCCGAAGAGGGTTGAAAAAGGAAGGGATTCGCGTCAGCCTCATCAAACCAGGCAATATCGACACGGATATGAATCCACTTGGTGACAAAGTGTCTCCGGACGAAGTTTCTAAAGATATTCTCGCAGCATTAGAAGCAAAAAATCCTAGAGCAAGATACTATCCGGGGACTGTTAAGGGAATTCCAACAAGGSTGTTGTGTGCAGTGTTTGGTCTTTTGCCAGCATTTGTCACGGATAAACTGCTGTAGTAGAAACATGAAATGGTAGAATGAAATACAAGATCACATGATAGTTATGCAACGACACCTGTGATGACGATAGTAGTAATCCTTTTCAACGGCGGACACTTCTTCCCCTAGAGTTCCAACGCGACGGATGTATTTTGAAAAAGTCGTAACTACCTTGGTCCGCCCTCTTATGCACAACATTCATCCTATGAACGCAATGACCTTTATATTTGTATGCTGTTCAACATGAATGCAGTTTCTTGTTCATTCCGTTCGGTTGTAGCACCAAGATGCAAAGGGATTGAATGCAAAATCCCACYATGTTTTAGGTTTGTCGAAAAGGAACTWTCACAGTCCCACAATCGAAAAATCTTTTCGAAAAATCTCTCRAAAAATCTYTCGAAAAATCTTTCGAAAAATTTACTCGTGACGACTCGSTRGAKATCTTTYGGCGGCAGGTTCAGCCCGAGTACGACACCTGACTGCACTCATCCCCATTGCTATCGGYCATCAACTTCAAAGGCGAAGCTGACGTTCGAGAGTGAGCCATGGAAMGGAGCTTTGCGGCAATCGCTCCGGGAAGACTTTGCCTCTTCGGAGAACATCAAGATTATCTCGGATTTCCCGTCATCGCATTGGCCTTGCCATTGCTGTGCTGTAGAATCGACGTGACTGTTGCTTTGACCGAAGACGTCGGCCGCRATAKCGAAAGAACCGATGATCATATTGTCATCAACCTCCAACTTCCCGAAGCTCTGGGTGGGGAAAGCAGAGAGTATGATCTGGAAGATCTTCCGCCATCTCCTCCTGGAAGTCGACAGGACGGAAAGGACTACGACTTTGCCTTGGCGGCGATCCATGAAGTTTTAAAGGAACGGAAGAAATCAAACGGGTCGCAATTTACCGACACWACTGGTGTTTGTGGTAACAATGACAAAAGGAAAAAGGTTCACGTCCAATGCACGTCATCTATCGGAGAATTACCTCTGCGTGCTGGATGCAGTTCGTCCACTGCCTTCGTTACGGCTTTCGTCATGGTCCTGAAGCAGATCTTCGATGATCAGCACAATCGGCGTCTGCGAGAAAATTCCACGGGAACTTGCAGCAACAGTAGCAATTGCAAAGGGGAAAATTCTGGTRATGGCAATGGTGCTGGCAACGGCCATSTCCTCGAATTGGCGAAATTAGCACACCGAGCAGAAGTTACGCATTTCGGCAATCCGGGCGGAACCATGGACCACGTCGCAATCGCTTTCGGTTCCTTCGTCGAGACAADGGAAAACGGCCACGACGTTTGCAGCGTATTGCGAATTGGTCCAGATCCATGGGAAGTTGAGCTACTGCCGATGTTCCCGCCATTTGATAGTAGCAATGGCATGGAAGACGACAAGGACAACGGTGTTTGGATCTTAGGTTATTCCGGAGAACCAAAGGATACAATAAAACACTTAAAACGATGTAAATACGACAGAATAGAGTTGYTTCAGAAGAAGTTGAAGGGAGACTGGGATCATCCAATAGTAGTCGCCAGTGACGATTGCGATGGTAATGATGGTTCCAGGTCTCAAGAGAGATCAACACCGACGCCGACTTTATCCGAAGCAGAACAAGCTTTGCGAAAGGCRACAATCTCCAATCGCGATACCGAGGAAAAGGCAGCCAAGTTATGGAGGTCATATTGTGGATCACAGTATATACCACAATCGAAAAACGAGTCGCTTGGRCATTCTCTTGCTCGCCTAATGAAAAAACACCACGAAGCTCTTCGCGACGGCTTAGRCTTGAGCACCCCGCGTCTCGAAGCGATGAACCAAGCCGCACTAGATGCCGGTGCATGGGGGTTCAAAGTGGTTGGTTCGGGTGGGGGGGGCTGCGGTGTAGCTTGGGCGCCCTCTTTCAAAGCGATGGTCGTATCCGATGCAATGGAGAACGTTGGAGGCGCGGAGAAAACCTGGATAATCAAGAATGCCGGTCGGGGAGCTCGTATTATCTCAACCAACGAGAGCGAAGTGCTGCAAGTATAGATACCAAAACTTTACCGGATCTTTCTCTCCAAAGTTTATAGAGATTTCCATCATTATTWCGCCGTGCATGAGAATCCTTCAAATGAAATTGTGTGACGGCAAACCACCGGCTAATTCGAGATGCAAACATACGTCTTTTTGAAAAAGAGTCATTTTGTTTCAGCAGGGCCATTTTTCAYAAGTGGTTGTAACAGAAATWAAGCTGCTTCATACTGAATGACAGCAGTCGCACTTTTTCCTTTCCAAAAGTCTCGAAGGGCACGGTCTTTAATGACATAAAAAAAGAGAGCATCGGAACAAAACTCCATACTTCTGTTGTCTCTGAACGGGGTTGGTTCCGCCAGTATCGCAGAATTTCGAACAAAAGCAACACAGAGACGAATCCAATTAGTAAGCAATTTTTGGTCGATCGCTGAAGGATGCTGTCGGAATTCCAGTGTTGACCTTTTCCCCGAGTTRCCCGAGAGAAGTCCGTGTAGGTTCAGTTTATAACACACTCCTGAAGGATTCATCATTCGAACAAGCGCTTCGATGCTTTTGCATTCTCCAAGAAGATTGTGGAGAGTTCGATTGGAATAGCAGCCTATAGCTTTTTTGTTTGACTGGAGAAATTCTTCTTCTTCAGTTTCATTTATTGTWTTTTGAATGAGCAARTCCAATACATCTTCATACTTGATGAAGTTCTGACATACTTTGATAAGTTGCTTCAAGGATAGGCCTCTTGCACATACACTGACGTGAAAATCCATACAATCATCTATGGTGGCGTCGAGATTACCGTACAAGGTGGCAACAGTGTATGAWATACTCGCCAATCCGCCCTCTCCATTGAGCTCTGGAGAACTAATCTTRAAACGATCACCAGTTGGTTTAGATCCGCAGCAACGTGTCGAGGAGCTCGGGAGTATTGCCCATCCTTTTGCATTTYCAATATCCATCCGTTCCGTGTTCCCAGACTCCGTGAGCGAACCAGTGAACCTTCTTAAATGTTCTTCTAATATCTGACTYATCACAGTGRGTTTCCTAGTACAAGTAAATTCGAATTCGATGAAATATTGTTTATCGCGAGGCATGTTCAACTTAATATTTTGAACAGGTCCTTGCTCGACGAATTTCCTTTGTTTCAGGCGGGAACCATTTTCTTGACAGACAACTGTGTATTGAATATTCTCTCGCTTCTCACCCGCGCCCACTATTGTTATGATCGCTTTCGTCCAGCCGTATGATTGTTGCCGAGTTTGGAATCTCCAATGTGTACTTCCATCGAATTTCCGTATCGGGATAGGGCTATAAGAAGTGAATCTCTGAGGGGAAAACGTAGACCCCAAATSAAATACTACGTTATGAATTATATCGGGAGAGCCATTAACCACGTCGATGTATAGTTGCCAATCATGGATTTTTAGGAAAGGAGCTGACTTTGCTTGAATGGCAATGGCTTCCGGAATTTTTTGGTATGTGTTCCCAACAACGAAATCTATTGCTCTTTCTATTTCTGGTAGAAACATTTTCACCCTCTATTTGTTTATGGTCTGGAAGCGATRCGATCTTTTAGCATGCGTGATGAATGCTGACAACATTGGTGCGCTTATGTAGGACCTAATATTCTCTACGATACTTCGACCACTATGGTACATAATCATAACATAAACTTTTCTCGTGTAACCATATTTGGGATCGATGGATTTTTCCGTGAGAGGAAGAAAATTCGGAAAACTAGTYAAGTCATTTCTGTCTCCACTTATCATCTCTACTAAGGTTTCGTGCACGACTGACTGGGCCCTCCGCTCCGGTTCGTACCCACATGTGCGCATCCCCCTTTTCGAATTCCTCCCCTAGAAAAACGTGGCATATTTTTCAAGAATAACCCACATTTTAGAATTGTGGGTTATTTCATGGGAAGAATAACCCATGTTTSTAAAATGTGGGTTATTTAATTTGGAAAATAACCCATGAAAGAACCCAGGAACCCATGAATAACAACAACCCATGAAAGAACCCATGAATAACCCAGCATGAATAACCCACGAATTTACAGTAATCTGGGTTGATGGAGAACCAACAACAAGGATGTTAGTCGTGAGTATTTTAGTCATTGATGTTAATTAAGCACTGTTTGTTATGTTTCAAAATAGGCCCAACAGATTTGTGGGTCATTCATATGTTATTTGTGGGTCAACCCAGGAATCCATGTTTCAAAACATGGGTTATTTTTCACAAAAATAACCCATGTTTTAGAATTGTGGGGTATTTCATGGGGGGAAAATATCCCATGTTTCTAAAATGTGGGTTATTTCATTGGAAGAATAACCCACAAAATCATGCCCCAAATATCAAATTTGAAAGGGGGGATGCCTGTGGGTTGGTTCCGGAGGGCCCCGACGACTGAAGCATTCAAAATCATCACTTGTTGAACAAGTATTAATCAAATGAATCTAAGTCATGAATATTACTATGCATTGCACATGGAGGAAATGATGAATTTCCACTTACCTTGCCCTAGTACTAGACCCACAACTACTCTGACTTACTTCCTCCATCCACAATTAAATGTACCAATGACGCTTTTTTGCTGTCCGTAAAGTTTAATTAACACTCATGAATAGTTTTATTTAACCCCAAATTGAATATGATTGAATATGACTGTGTAGAACGCATAGAATCAGTACTACAAAGTGGAAATGAGCATGCGTGTGATTAAAAATTATTTTCACACATAAAATTACACATACTACTATTAACACAGCAAATGAAATTTTGACAATGGTACGGTGCACCTTTTTCAAACAAGAAATGAATGCACAGGAACCTTCTCAATACCTACTAGTAGTAACAAGATAAGAATACTGTGATAAAGCTCTCATTCCTGGCTTTCTATAGTTGTTGGTGGCATCGTTAAATGACTGGCAGAACCCTTGTTTCAACTGGTAAAATGAAAATCATATGCCAAAAAACGCCCTCTCTAATTGAATGTCGTCACAAGTATGTCAGACGCTTTCAATTAATACGATCTATATACTTGTATACATTTCTTATAATAGATCTGTTAAACAAAAAAAGAAGCATTCCAATTGCCCAAATAATGACCTTAGTATTTCGGTAGTAAAGGTTCAAAAGGGACATTTAATTGTGGATGGAGGAAGTAGTCAACGACATTGAAGAGCTTATACTCATCCCCCACACAGGAGTGTCCACTAGTACTACTGTAGTATATTTTCAGTGTATGGTGAATTTGAGCAGGCTTTTCTCCTCCCAAGCAGTCCATCTATTGCCTACNGTACCCACATGTGCGCATCCCCCTTTTCGAATTCCTCCCCTAGAAAAACGTGGCATATTTTTCAAGAATAACCCACATTTTAGAATTGTGGGTTATTTCATGGGAAGAATAACCCATGTTTGTAAAATGTGGGTTATTTAATTTGGAAAATAACCCATGAAAGAACCCAGGAACCCATGAATAACAACAACCCATGAAAGAACCCATGAATAACCCACAAATTTAGTACAGTAATCTGGGTTGATGGAGAACCAGCCAACAAGGATGTTAGTCGTTAGTATTTTAGTCATTGATGTTAATTAATCACTGTTTTTTATGTTTCAAAATAGGCCCAACAGATTTGTGGGTCATTCATTTGTTAGTTGTGGGTTAACCCAGGAATCCACATTTCAAAACATGGGTTATTCTTTTTCACAAAAATAACCCATGTTTTAGAATTGTGGGGTATTTCATGGGAAAATATCCCATGTTTCTAAAATGTGGGTTATTACATTGGAAGAATAACCCACAAAATCATGCCCCAAATATCAAATTTGAAAGGGGGGATGCCTGGGGGTAGGTTCCGGAGGGCCCCGACTGAAGCATTCAAAATCATCACTTGAACAAGTATTAATCAAATGAATCTAAGTCATGAATATTACTATGGTGCATTGCACATGGATGAAATGATGCATTTCCAGTTACCTTGCCCTACTAGACCCACAACTACTCTGACTTACTTCCTCCATCCACAATTAAATGTACCAATGATGCTTTTTTGCTGTCTGTAAAGAGTGTCCTCGAGTTTAATTAACACTCGTCATGAATAGTTTTATTTAACCCCAAATTGAATATGATTGAATATGTCTGTGTAGAACGCATAGAATCAGTACTACAAAGTGGAAATGAGCATGTGTGTGATTAAAAATTATTTTCACACATAAAATTACACATACTACTATTAACACAGCAAATGAAATTTTGACAATGGTACGGTGCACCTCGTTCAAACAAGAAATGAACGCACAGGAACCTTCTCAATACCTACTAGTAAGATAAGAATACTGTGATAAAGCTCTCATTCCTGGCTTTCTATAGTTGTTGGTGGCATCGTTAAATGACTGGCAGAACCCTTGTTTCAACCGGTAAAATGAAAATCATATGCCAAAAAACACCCTCTCTAATTAAATGTCACAAGTATGTCAGATGCTTTCAATTAATACGATCTAGTATATACTTGTATACATTTCTTCAAATAGATCTGTTAAACAAAAAAAGAAGCATTCCAATCGCCCAAATAATGACCTTAGTATTTCGGTAGTAAAGGTTCAAAAGGGACATTTAATTGTGGATGGAGGAAGTAGTCAACAACATTGAAGAGCTTATACTCATCCCCCACACAGGAGTGTCCACTACTACTGTAGTATATTTTCAGTGTATGGTGAATTTGAGCAGGCTTTTCTCCTCCCAAGCAGTCCATCTATTGCCTACYGGAAAGCAACTTAAAAGCTACTTTAAAGTCACTTTGAAGATTCTTTTAAGCTACTGTAAAGTAGCTTTTAAGTCAATTTTTGGTTAAAACACTGTGTAAAATTTCTACTACTAATATAGTACCCTCTAATTTTTACATAGTTAATGGCTTCTTTTTAGCTACTTTTAAGTAGCTTWAAAGTAGCTTCAAAGCTATCTCAGAGCTACTTTAATTCTACTTTTAAGCTATCTCATTCCTACCTGAAGTCATATTGGAAAGGGCTATTCTGATAAAGTGTGTGTTCCTCACTGTATGTGGTATCACCAGCACTATGTACCACCGTCGATGCGTTGTTCAAAGGTGTGTGTCGACGTTGCGTCGGTAGAGTTCGTATTAAGGAGAGAGCACGCCTAAAAAAATTATCACCATGGTGGTGAKTAATTTTTATTGGAAGGGTGTCATAACCTGTGGGAGAGACTGTCCTAATAGTGATGTAAAATGTGTGCTAGTAGAAAAGTGAGTTGATGCTCTTATCAAGGATCGACAAACTATGAAATCTAGAATGGATCGCTGTGGGGATCGAGTGAGATGCGAATCGAATGAGTCAAGTCACTCACGCAAGTGAATGAGATGAGTCACGTCGATGATATGAATCCTAGGGGATCGCGTGAGTCATACATGTATGGTGTGTATGAATCGTAGATAAGTATCTTATGTACGTGTAATATGTATGAATCATACCCACGGTCTGATATCCTACGGACAACAGGAAGTGAATGTAAAAAACCATGTACTGCTTCTGCTTCTTGATGTAGTAGTCAGAGTAGTCATGGGTCCAGTAGCTTACAGTATCTGGTAATRCATCGTTTTGTATGTCCCAGCTGTAAGAATATTATGTTAACAATTCACCACCAGTACTAGTACTAGTAGTAAAGAAATACGGCGGTAGTACTAGTAGTAGTGGTAGGACGAGTGCTGGAACAAACATCCATTTGATAGTATCCAAGAAAAYGGTATGCTCAGAATCCTCATAAAAAACTTTTGGTGTAGACAGACTAGTAAAACATTATGTTTTTAGTACTATTTTTGATAAAGTTATTACTAATTGAAAGTTGAATAGTTTTACTTGCTAGTAGTAGTATTAGTACTTCGCATCAAAAATGAGATTTTTAAAAAATCATGAGGGGACTTMTTGGAAACTAGAAAAAAATTCGTCACGCCCCCTCTAAATTTATGACTCTGCCTTCACATGCGGTGGATCTTTGAATCGCTAAAAATAAAACTTTTGATGCCTCTCTGTTCTTTCTTTCATTCCTTGTCACCCGTCGTGTCAAACTCGATCCAGCGATCTACGGTAGGAATTCTTGTGATTTGTTCCGCTAAATGGTCAGTCATCAGAACAAAAGTACTACGAAGTACTTCTAATATGAAACCAAAAGAAGAGAAGCGTAAAAAMGGTTCTGACCATCGCGGTGACAAAATCTTTGCTCGAAACATAGCTATTGCATAGCACTATTGTTCTCGCCCGAAAATATATCCTAGTTTGCACAAACATCGAGGTGTTGATCGATCATAATGACTGATACCGTGGCAAGAAGATCTATGAATCTMGCAAGGAGTGAGAATGGTGAGTTTGTGGAGAGCATTAATGCGTATCGATGTGACCCAGTTGCTCTTTGCGATCTGACCAATCGACTTTCCCCCGCTCTATTTGTGTCAAAGATTCAAGAAGCCCCGTGTCCGAGCGTCACTGCTCAATTCTATTGCAAAAGCACGTACCAGCTGATTTCGAATTTCCCACCGAATGCAGCAAGTTCGATAGTTTTCGCGCCGGTCTCGTCCGGCGCGATAGCAAACAAAAAGAAGAAGCTATTGCATTTGCCGGAATGGATCCTGGCKCTGCGGTCAAGGCAATGACTGCTAGGGAGCAGGGACATCCCAGCGAAGCGCAACTCATTCGTCGAATGTCTTCTAGAAGGAACTCAAAAGAGTCTTCGTGGTTTTGAATACCCTAGGTTTGGAAAGCATCCTCTGTTGACTTGGAATACATTTTTCATTCCTAAATACTGCAGATTGATGTAGACAAAGTGTCGTTTGCTTCTCTATGACCGAATGCTTGCCTGCTCTCCACGCCTTCTTTGATCCCCCTTAACACGCACTAGCGCGTAATCAATAAGTCTTCTGCCCATTTGCAAGATTTATGAATACACATCCACAATTACATGCTACACTACGAATTGAAGAATACATATTCTACGACGCTGCGTCACACCAATCCTATTGCAATGGCACCTCCATCGTGAATACTGCGATAGAAAAAATGATGTTATCTTAATTATACAAAAAGATTGATTGACAGCAACAATGACTTGGGTCATATTTGTGCTGGAGTAAACGTTAAAAAAAGTTAAATCTATTCTTTTCGAGCACATTTGTTCTTCCTTCTCGCTTTTGCTGCGTTTTGCATGGAAGCGCTTTTCGTTTCGATTCTATTGTACTTTTGTCTTAGGCGACGTGCTAACAAATGTCAGGATCCCTTCACTAACGACCACACGCTTGAATTCTGTTGATGTTGGTTTCTGACTGCCTCGATTACCAATACTATTGATGCTCTCGTTGTTGCTGCTGCTACTCTGATTGTTTGCTTGAGGTTGGCCGTTACCCCGCAAAATTTCGATCCGAAGCGTGACGGATGGATGGTCGAGTCGCGGGGGATTGATGATGTGGGCTTCCAACTCCAAAACTCGAGAGGCCGAGGATTGGTAGGATATCACGAGTCGCTGGCATTCTGCTTCCATCCAATCTCCACTGTTGCTGGTGCAGCTGATCTTCGCAGCTCCGCCAACATCATCGGCACCAGAATTAGTCGTCGATTGTAGCACCTTCAAGAGCTCCCTTCGTGCAACTAATTCACCTAGACGCTCCATCAGAATCGCCTGAACTCCACCATGAAGTCCACCAAACCCATTCGTATGTGGTGGTCCGAATTGAAAAGTTGCTGTCGTGTCGCTAGTTAGAAGAAAGGAATCCAAAATGTCCGAGTGAATAGTGTGACGATTTGATTCGATATTATTGTTGTTGCTGTGATTTCTTTGCTTTCTTCGGTACAGGTATGGCAAAATGTATCGTGAATAAAGATTAAGAAACCACATTCCCACAGGTGTCAGCAATAGTCCCATCCCCCAACCGACGGTTAGGTATTTCACGTGATCAAAATAGCAAATTATGCCGTCATAATTGCTTGGATCACGGACTTCGGCACGAACAAACGCAAGGTTTCTTCCCTTCTTTGTGATTGTCGTAACGATGTCCACCTCTTCTAAAAATGACAACGACGATGTTGCATCGTATGCCGGTCCCCATTGCGACTGCATCGTCACGCTGACGCCGGGGCGTGGATAGCTTGGACCCGTCGCCGAGATTATGCTAAAACTAGTCACTTCGTCTAAAATACTAGTGTAGGTTGATAGGCCGACGGGGCCGCAATKCATCCCACTTTCTGATATTGATGTTTTCCGAGTGCCTTTGTGGAGGCCCTGCAATCGATTACGAGGAAATCGGTATCGAAAGACCAATGATTGTTCCTGCCGCCGCCGCTCCCCACTTCTCACAATGCTATTCGATGGCGATGCGTCCAAGAACCAAAATCGATCTTCCCTGACAGTTGAAAAATAGTCCTCTTTGTTTGTTTCATCTGCGTCATTTCCTGAAACCGAAAGACCCAAAAATTGGCCAAATGTCGGCTTGTTTGCTTCTAGTCGAGCTTGGAAGCGTAGAAACTCCATCAAACTTCGAATCGTACGTTGGCCTCTTCTGCTGTTCGCGGCGGAGGCCGCAGACGAGGTCGGTTTCACCATGATCGGATAATAGATTCTGTGTTGTACGTCCTCGATGTTTTGACTGTCTCGTGATCGTATTGATGCGGTATGGTCTTTAGGAGACCGAGTTTTGTGAATTGGTACCGTTGGCAACTGCGCAGGATTGTCTGACGACGATTTGTTTCTAATTATTGAAATCTTAATTGATTCGAAACATCTGGCATGTACATTCTTGAATGCCATGTCATGATGATACTAGATCACGTTAAATCAATTGTCGAGAATTTTTGGTTTTAGGCATAACCCACCTTTTTGCACAACCGTGTCAGAGGAAATTATTGAAGCCCCATCGTCGGACGCATCTGTTTTATCTGACTGGAAAAGCTACGGGTATAGGATTATTCTGATTCCTCAGCTTCCACTATTCTTCGCTTAAATAAATTCTTCTCTTTGCATTCATATTATGCATCCCGAAAGAATGCACTTAAGTACGTGCCGGCACAACAGCACATGTTGTCACGAAATTTAGAAATTCGAGGTCTCCAATATTTAAGATTTCGGCACATTACTGTATTACGAAACTCTACTTATCTTCCCTAAAGTTCAATTATTGCGATCCTATGGTTTCACGTGGCTCTTTCCTATCCATAAATGCATCAGATCTCCATGTTGAATCAAAACTGGAAGTGAGTCTCGAATCTTCCTCCATCCTCTGAATGAATCCAACACGACTCACTCGAATTTGAAAATCGAAGTTAGAAGAATTCGAGTCAGTCGTACGTAAAGTACCGTGGTTCAGGGGTCAATTCTCAATCTCAATTCCGGGTACGAATTCTTGAATCGTACGTACGATAGTACCGTACGGTACAGCATCATAACGAGAATGAACCTCAAAACTCAAAACGTCAAGCTACCATACCAGCCGGTACGAGTACGTTACGTACCGGTCAGTACGGTACTTCTGAGAGAATCATGAGTCGTACTGTGAAGTCATACCGGACAATGTATTGAAATCAACAGTGGGTGATTCCCGTTATTATAGATGTGCTAAACT